AGCATTGTGAACATTTTAAAAGATGGATAGGATATAATTAAAAACACATTTTGTTGGAGTGTATTTTCTCCTCTGAAGTAAACAGTAGTAATGTGTGTTCATTATTTATTTTTTTTTAAAAGGGGAGGGGGATGACACTATCATATAAAACATGATATATTGAGCATGAAATAAGTAAATTTAATAGTTGGGCTTTGTAGAAAGAAATATCCAAGATTATTCACTACTTTCTTATTTATCGTGTGCATCTGAACAAAAACATATAATAGATCATGCATCTGGAGATGATGGCTTAAACTGCGTTGTTTATCATTATTGGGCTCGTCCATTTATGGAATAAACCAACCGCGGGGTCGGTAAACAAATTAGAAACATCTTTTCTTTAGTGTTACATGTACATATACTATGTATACGATATGTTGTTTTAAAGAATGGTATAAAACTTGTAGGTAGAATTTCTGAAGCATTAGAAGGAAGTTAAAAGGACAAACTTTATTTAATTCCATGGAAGTTAGCGCACCCATTCATACAATAGAACAATCCAAGGAAAAGGCGCGAAGATACGCCAGTAGCTTACTAGTGACATTTGGCGCGAAAGGAGCGATTCACCCATTTCGTAGAATATAAATGGACTGATCCAGCAGTATAGAAATGCAGAAAAAAGGATACACGGACATGTTGAAATGGCAAATCATATGGAATAATCTGTTTCATGCAAAAAGATTAAAGGAAGTAAACACTGCAGTATTTCGCATCAGTAATATCTTTCTTTTTTTTCTGAAAACTGTTTCTTTTAAAATGCAAGTAAAGAATTCCATTGTAAATCAGCTTGCACAAAATCTAGCTCTTTAGATATGGTCGCACACTTTCGGATCTTGGAAATATCAATCCTTATACTGCCTGACGCCGTGACGTCAGGCAATAAGAATTATATTAGACATGCCCTTGCGCCGACTTTATTTTGTTAATGTGTTTATTACCTTGAATAGGGAATATCAATGACGTCATAATAAAACGTCATAATGTGCAATTGCTTTATCATGCCCTGTGTACTTATTAGGTATAAATAAGCTTGAAACTTCTCTGTGTAAAAATTACAAAAATGATTTTCATTAGCTCATTTGCACAGAAAAGCCTTTATCTAGCCTTAACTAACTCGTATGCAATACTTTTAGACCCCGACTGTTCAGATAACAATTAAATAATTCATAAAAATTGTCGGATATTCCTAAAGTCTGCAGTTTAAAAAGAAAACCCTTATGTCAGACTGTATCGAAAGCCTTTGATAGATCGCAAAAAAAAAAAACATGACTTTTCCACATTGATACTTTTAACTATACTATGATATGTTTCCAACAATCGGAAAACAGTTGAGTGGCCAGGTAAAAAAACCCGCCTTATACTTGTAGATCAAATTATTTGCATGGAAATGATTATACACGTGTTTAAATATTACATCAGAGGTTGTTATCATTACTGCGTTGAAAGACTATATTATTTAAATAGATAAAACCACTGTTAAAATTAAACGATAAAAAAAAAAGGAAGCAGACATTAAAGCAGATTTCTTCCATGTGCTCCGAAATTCGGATGTGTGTTACTTTAGATATTATATAAGAAAGCTAAATGTTGTTACTCTGTGAACAATGACACCTTTATACATCAATTTTGTGCTATCTATTCTTATGATAATTTGATACTTTTCCACATAAACGTGTTCTTTATTCTCACAACGGTGGTGGTTCCGAGAATCCAATAATCTTATACTTGTCTTTGTTGTTCTTCATAACCAGATACGTTTTTATATCGTATAAGTGATATTCTTAGTGAAACGCAAAATCACCCCCTCCCACCCCCCAAAAAAGATATTTATTTCAGCAAGAGGTACTTTTAGAGATTTTATGATAATTAGAAAAGATGACTTTTACAACCGATAGGGTATAAATTGTTAGCAGTATTTAATTTTAGCGATCTCAAAACATTTGCTTATAATGCCAAAATTGAATCCTTGCTAAAACTCTGCTGATGTGGTTTTCAAATTTCATATTCAATTTCAATTTGACATCTTGTGTTTTCTTGTTACACACCTTATATGGTGCTATCAACTGGATAAGTTGTAGTTGTTTTGAGTAATACCCCCTCCCCCCAAAAAGATAGACAGTAATGCTAAGCTTTTAAAAATTACATGTTTCTATTATAGTTATTTGTGTAGAACGTTCTCTTAATGTACTTTTCGATGAGAGAATGATAAATTTTCATTTTTAACAAAAAAACGAAGGAAATACTGAAAACGTAGGAATTTTTTTACATGGGTGTCAAAGGCTGCTGAAAATCCATTATGTGTGGCCTGCAGAGTAGTGAGATAAATAATGAATGAAGCTTATTTCAACTTTTGTCATACAATTTAACATAACATTGGGCGGTTTACGCTTTATAAACCGCGATTTCTTATAATATAAATTCAATCTTGACCATGAGATGAATTTTCCTCTGGAAAAAGGCTTCAAACTGATCATATTTTAAAAGTAACGTCAAGCAGAGTAATATGTTTTTGTCGTTACTCAATTGTGACGTGGGCCACTAATGGTTTAAGAAATGGATGAAATCTTTTAACCAATCAAATATAATATACAATAATGATATGTTTCAACTTAAATTGAATTATTTGTGAATAACTTTATCCAGCGTTTGTCTTTCTATGCGTCTATCGGTGATACACCTTACATATTGAGAACTGTATGAGAAATGGATTAAATATATTGCACACACGAGGGCTGTACGAGGGGGTAATACTGGAATATGGCGTTACAAAAATCCATCAGGAGTTATGTAGCCTGGTGCTTAGCGTGATAGTAAATAAAAATAATGATATTTGGATTTTCATTTTTGTTGTTAAAGTTAGAACCCCAAGAACACCACAATATTTTTTTAAAAATATAATTTATATTCTTTCCCAAAACGTTTACTAAAAAAATTACCCTTCCCTCAACACTGTACACATAATTACTTTTACTAATATCAAAAATCACAGATTTAATAATTGTGAATTTAATAAAAAATGTCTTCGTACAAAATATTTGTCCATTATTTTGACACTTAATTGTCTACATAAAGTTCCGTATTTCCAATCATAAGAAGAAGCACACGGCAAGTGTGACCAGCCAACAGGGTATACTCACTTCTCCATGACACGTGATCCAACTTCAGATGATTTAAAATTCCGTTTGTTCTGATCCAAATTTGTATTGCTCTAAATGACTTAAATTGATCTTTAAAGCAGGTTGATATCTTTATAGTTCGTATTTCTAAATCTGTGATGCATTGTGAAAGCATATTTAATTTTTTTTTCATTTTCTTCTCAAAATTCTGAAGAAATTGGTGGATAATACCCAAGGAATTAAGTATGTATAATTCTTTTGAGTAATTTATTTTTTGGTTTGAAGAATAATATATTTGTTTTAATGTTAACGTTTAGTACAATAATTATCGTTCATACCATCGACGACAAACTGTGCGTTCTTTAGAACAGTAGAGACATTTTTTTCCTTCAAAAATCTGCGAATGCACAATTATTTCCCCTCTATATACTCGTACCTTTACATTTCAATGATTGCAGTTACTATCATTGTCTGCACAGATTCTGACAACCTGTAGCGTGAGAATCTGTATTAGTCTAATTTTATGTTTAGAAGTACATATAGGAACCATGGTAGAAAGTATATTATTATCTTATTGTAGACATTTCCAAAAATAAAACAGTAAGAAACATTAAAACTTGGAAAACTTTATTATATTATGCTTTAAAAAGAATAAGAACAATGCTAAACTGTATAATGGTAAGTCTCTCTAAAAAATATGTACAGTTGTGCCAAAGTCTAAAACTGACAAATGTGTAATTTTAACCATTACAGAAACATGAACATTCAGGAATGCATTTTAAGATGTAATGATAGCAAAATAAACATGTGATGCAGATGAAACTGGAATGGAGGCTAAGAGGACTTATAATGAGATGCGTTAAAAAGTAGTTAAATATTGCATGTGATTCATATGAATTTTTCATCCAATTAAATGCCATTAGAGCTAATGACTTTCATAACGTCATCTTATTTTCTAGGATGCTGGCTAATTAGTAACATTGTATTAGTGGCAATATAAGAAGTGTGAACAGTAAGATTATTTTACAGCATATACATGTATAAGCTCTGAGTAATATAAATCACAGTTTCATATATTTTACTGCATTTCATTAAAGCATTTTTTTTTAGATTTTTAACTTTTCGTTTCCGACATTTTTTAGTTTCATTTTCGACACATTCAAGTTTTCATCTTTGACATTTTTCAGGTTTTCAGGATTGAAGAAATCTCTTATGAAAAATTTGATTTAATAAGAATAATTTCTGGTACGTCAATGTCTTTGACATAATTTCGGATCAGTTATTGACAGCTAATTTAGGGAACATAAATGGTGATAAAAAGGTTAAATGTGCATTGAACTATTTAACGTAGGCTTAATGCTACATGTACAGATGCAATTACAATGTATACGAAATGCTTTTTTTTTGTTTTTATTAATGATTGTTTTTTTCAAAAATGAAATTTGAAATAAATTCCTTTCAATTTCATCTACTCGGTAAACATATAAAATTGCCGGTGAGATACTTTGCAAAAATTCCGGATATAAAAAAATATTAATGTCGGAAATAAAAACATTTATTGTCGGAAATGAAAAATGTATCCCTTTTGCATTATATTTTATGAAATATCATGTAACTCATATGCTAATAGAGATGTTATAAGAGGTAGGCCATTCAAATCCTAAACGCGTACAAAATTCTTACATTTATGAAGGCTTTCCAAATTAAAAAAAACGTTGATGTTAAGACTGAATTTCTTTAAAAAGCCAACATTTAACTGCTTAATGTATATAAGCGCTTTTTTAAGTTCTCATTAACGAGCAAATCTTATGCTATGACATTGATGAGTTTGCATATCTACTGTTTTACAAAAAGGACAAAATTAAAAAAGAGAAAATTTATTGGGACAACTGTACCTCATACTTGAAAGGGCAATACTTGTTCATTGCAGCTATATGCCCAAACCAATACTAGGTTTTCTTATTCAAAAAAGCATAAGCACATTTAAGTAGAATCTGAGGGAAACCAACCCCTCTTGCAATATTCTTATTTCTAAATGGCACATGTTACCCGCGGATTTATTCAGCAGAGCAGTTATATATTCGAAATGCTATCTATGTGGCAATCTTAGGAAAATCCTATCAAAATAGCTACATGTCTTTATTGGGTTTAATTTGATTACGTTTGCTGCTTGAGCATAAAAATGAAGCAAAGAAAAGTATATAAGGATTACAGGAGTAATTCAGTGTAACAAGGATAAAAAAAATGTCATGTAAATAGACAAAATAATACACTGACATCGTTACAAGATATATAGAAAACTGGAATAAAATGTATGCAACTTGATAGCAGATAAAAACAAATAATATAATAAAAATTATAACATTCATTCTTCTGCTGATGCTGGAAGGAATAGAAGATTTTTTCAAGGTTTTCATCTTCAAAATATGTAAAGTCAGGATTGCACAAACAGATAACCCAGAATATGTTATTTTTATGAAAAACATAGTCCGTACGCGTGCATAAATATAGTCCTCTATTGATGGTAGTGATATCAATGCTGAAAATAGTGAACTAAATACCCAAACCACAATAGAACATCCCAAGATAACTGTCGGAGTCAGTCGTATTTTACTCTGTAACGGATATGCTATTAATAAATACCTAATTACAGAAAGGAGTACAATGTGTGTAACTGAACTATGAAAAATCGTCTCACGTAAAATCGTCATTGTTATTAAGACAGGAAAACTTTGGGATGAAATATACATACTAAAGTTGGAAAATCTATAAAGAAACATGCAGACAATAAAGAGAAGATCTGAAAATGCGAGACATCCGATGACAACGAATGTTGGAGTATGGAACTTTTCATCGCACAAAATTTTGAAGATGGCGACAACATTTCCCACGAGTCCCAGGCATCCAATAATCAATCCCAGTATCACAAATGATTGATGAAGCGTCTCTGAAGTGAGTTTACTACTATAGGAATCAAACATATAGAATTTAAATGACACAGCGCCATGTGTATAGTCGTACTCAGCAGACAAGTTATGTGTTTCGTTCCACATTTGCTGAATTATTTCTTTTTCTGGCACGGAACTCCAGAATGAACTGATATTATTCTGTGTCATTTCCTCGTAAAATTTCCATGAATGCAATTCGGCAGCATTAGATGTGTTTCCCAAAATTCTTCTTTTATGAGATGCCATTTGAAGTATACTGTTAAACAAATTGTTTGTTTCAATTAAAACGATTATTATCTTTTCATATATTGAATGAAACAGATTTTCTCTGAAATAGTTAGTTATAAAGACAACACATTAAAACTTTTGTAACCCTACCTCAACTTAAATAAAATTAGCACAATTTTATAAATAAACATTAATTCAACATACCTTCTTATTTAATGGGTAACAAGTAAAACAAATTGTGAAGTACCTAATTCTTACTTCCTGCGTATTTTGAGTGAATGTCAAAACCATTGTATAAGACCTATTTATGTGTAGTGAACTACCGCTTACGTCAGAGGACTTCCTATTCAGAGGGGCAAAATGATTCATTGTTTTCCTACTTTTGTTGCAGCTAAAATAATGCTGAAAAAGGAGACTAGGCTACTATCAAAAAGCAAAAGACCATTAAAGCTTGGTTTTGATTCACTGCCCATTATAAAATTGAATAAAAGAAAAGGTTGCAGATTAAATACCGACATCCGACAAAATTCAAATTAAAATTTGGATCCAACAAAATAGAATTAATTCTAAAAAAAAACCTACATACTATAAACAAATCTTTGAGCAGGTTATAATATGCAAATCCTTTGAAATGTCATTTTTGGAATTGGACACTGAGGAGCAGTAAGAATATCCCGTTGACCTGTTACACCCCCCATGACCTCCTTGGTAAGATCATCTGTAGTCAATTCTAAATGTGAAAACAATTTTGTCCCTAGAAATTAAATTCTAAGTATACGATGATTTCCAGACATTGAATGAAAAACATATTTTTATTAAAACAGTCATTATAATAAGCCTTTCAACGAAAAAACGATATTGTTACAAGGCAAGTCTGCATGAATCATAATGAAATGTTAATGTTGTATTCTATATAAGTATTTTATCGCGTCCAATTTAACAAAACCGGAATAAAAGTTGGTCGGTACGTGAGCAAATCTTCTGAGAAGCAATTCGGCCTTCAATGGATTTGATCACGTGACCGATCCACTTCATTTCCCATTGAAATTTATAAACTTGTTTTTTATTTCATAATTATAATAAAAAGTTGCATTTTTTCAGTTTATTTGTCCACACTGCTAAAATCAATACATTTCTAATAGGGATGTCAATTTTATTCGGGCAGCTTAGTCAAATAGTCGGAAGATTTAGTCGAACGATAGTCGAATATTCGTTGAAATTCAAATAAATTTTTCATGTCATTTTTAATAATTGTCTTTTATAGACTCGTTGCATAATATTTAATCTATATATGCAATCAACATCAACGAAATCTCTGAATCTTAAATACTTACGTTGTTCAATAAATACACCTACATGTATCGAATGTATTTGATTTCAAATAGCTGTATAATATTTACTAAATATTTTATCTAAATGCAAGATATCAGAAACTCACATTTGTCCTTTCTCTCCACGTGCCCGTGATCTATGACTGGTAAACAATTTGATTAAAGCGTGCCTCTTTAAAAACAGGTAGAGTTTGCTATAAAGGATCATTCTCTATAAGGCCGTTTTCCGGCCTACAATGACTTCAAATTTTCAGATAGTATTTTTCTCTTAAAAATTGCATGAATCACTAGGCTTATGTTCCAATTTAATGATAAATATTGGTTGGTTAATGATACAATAGTATTTTTAATGATATAGGGTCACAAAGTAAGGTGCTATCGGTCCGTATTAGCATTAGAGTAATGGGAAAACTCAAGAGGGTGGCTGTGTTAGATAACTCCTACTCATGCCATAACCACCTTTAACCAACACCAAAATTTGCATGTAGATTTCGTATCAACATAAAAAGTGACTACCAAAATATGAATTTGGTTAAAAGTGGTAATGACATCTAAATAAAAACTTTTCACTTCATGTTTACGATATTTGCAGGAAAAGCTAACTACACAAAATGAAGGATATCAGCTTATGTAGATTATTTCTTTTTATAAACTTTTGGTTAGAATACAATTTTCTGTTGATTTACTAAGATTTATATCACCCATGCATATTTACTTTAAAAAATGTGAACTTTTTACTTAAAAATCTAAAAATCAAAGGACTGAGAAGACTGGGTGTCATGAAATTACAAGTGGAGACGTTTCTTTGAAATGTCTGATAAAAATTAAGAAATAAGAACTTTTTATAGGTTATAAGGTGTGAATTCATATGAGTTATCTTTTATATTTATAATGATAGTGTTGTATAGCTATATATGCTACTTCTTTGAATCTCGTTATTCACTGCATATATTCTTTGTATTTCCTTATGAGTACTGTATATGTTCTAGAAATGATAAAAGCAGACTTGGTTGAAGCGGTAACATGCATTCATTATTTGTGTTATAGACTTTTTTCTATGGGTAAAAACATAATTTTATTATGGACACTTCCGTACGAGTATCATATGATCCATATTTTGTTAACTGGATCTTAATTGAGAGAACTCAATCTATTCATCACACTTCTTTGATAGCATCGATATAAGTTATGATAACAGTAGTCCTGTCTTAGAAAATAAACTGGTAAAGAGGAGAGAGATTCCTAAATGTAATATGTGATTGATAATTGAATGTTGCTTTCCTCCACTTAAGGATTTTTCAACCAAATAAAGAGATCACCCACTTAAGGTCACGTGTTTATGCATAGTTGCATTACTAACCAATGCCCAACGCAGGACGGGACCTTCTTTTCAATAAAAGATAATATCCGAAAGACCCATGACATTTACTTTAAATGCTAAAGACTTAGGTAGGGAACTGCCACTATCCGTGTTAAACAAGTTTTTGACGCTGCACTGGGAAAGAGACTGAATTTAACCTACAGGTTTCAAGCGTGGAAAAGGAGCATCAAACCCTTAGGGTCCATTTTGTACCTGGGATATTGTAGAACTCTTAATCCCGTATGCTAGTGTATACGAAAACTTCAGAATCTGATATGCATATTTCTAGGAACTGTTAAAATTCTACTCCATTTTATGTTGTGCCGTTGTTGTGCCGTTAGACACAAAGCTTTTTGACGACGCTATTTCTTAAGAAATAAGGTATCATTTTTTGAGTGTTATTGGGATGTAAAACGGCTTGGTCACGTGATCAAATCCCATAAAGCTCGAAGGGCTTTATGGAAGATTTGATCGTGTGCCAACCCGTTTTACATCCCAATAACACTCACAAAATGATACCTTATTACTTATATTTACATTTGTGACTTATTCATACTTTAAACTTGCCTAATTGTGACTTTTAACGTGTGAAATGCATTATTTATCAAACCCAACGGCATGTAGGTAATCCACTGATCGCGCGTCGACCCTTTATGACGTCACAGAGAACTTACGTCGAACGTTTATCCATACGAACATCTATGACCTCTTGACCCCGTACCTGTATTTATACAGTTATAAAAACGCTTGCTTTCAGTAGTGTTATATAAAGGAAAACATTTGCAAATGTAAATATATTTTACTTAGATATTAATATTTTAATGCAACTGCTCTAAGTTATATGTATTGAGTATTAAGTATTTACATGTTTATGGATAGTCAACATGTACTTGCATTGAAATTCTTATGCTATTAATTCTTTATTTTTTTTTGCAATTGTTGAATTTCTTTTCTTAATTACTTCTTCAGTTTTATTTAATCACAAACAAAATCCATTCAGTGCTTTCAACATTTGATACATAACTTTAAGAGTTCAATAGAAACTTAGAAACCTCATTTCTTACATGATTATTTTATGCGTAAAATAAGTACCACATCTGTAGAAATGATATACAATTACAATAGAATTATATATGATATAATACTTTTCAATAAATTGCTAATGAATCTTTTTTCAGCACCATACTGTGTGAATTTCGTGAAGATTTACGTTCAAAATATGCAAAATGTGGATGCATCGGAATTCTTGTCATAAAAAATATCTTGAACCTTAAATTAAAAAAATCTTCGAATTTATTACTTGGGTCTTATGTATTTCCGACATAAATGACCACTTTTTGATCAGTTGCATTCAGAAGCATGCATAGAAAATTTATTTAAATAGACCTACCCTCAATTTTTCTTTAACTGACGGCCATTTTTTATCTCTAAATCACGTGACTTAGATGATCGATGTTGAAAAACAAACATCAAAATCATGAACTAGAATGATTATAGTTAAATAAAATCACATTTTAAAGTGATTTTATCGTAGGCCGGAAAATGGCCTTATAGAGAATGAACCTTTAATTAAGAGATTTTGTGCAAACAATCAGTGCGATATTAAAATGACTGTATGATATTAAATATCAGTAAGAAACAACATTAAATAATACTAACTGTCCACTAATTAACGTGTCTTTGCAATTTTGTAACAGCTGTTCAATTACATGTATTCTTTATGAATAGTTGCATTACGTCAAATCTTACGGAATTGCAGGTTGAAATTTTTAATCATGTATAATTTAAATCTACAGTTTTACTTACGAGAACATTGATCTGTAAATAAATGAAGTGGGCTGATCCACGTTTATTACTTTAAATTTGAAATAAATGATAGATAACATATTTTTAACGAAAAACCGACTAAAGAAATTTTAGTCGATAGTCGGTATGTTCGAACGATAGTCGAGTACTCGAATATTCGGTGACATCCCTAATTTCTAACACTTTGAAGATCAGCACTCTTGTGTTTACATAGAAATTATTAAACTCGAGAAGCGCACATAAAACACTTTCTATCTATTATGAGGTAAAAATAAATTTACAAAACAATGAAAGTTACTCACCTCCTGTTTTATCCACCGAAAGCTTTTCTCACTGGACGTATTTTTTCCAAAATGTTTCCAAAACTATCCCTTTACATCAATAAGTATATGTAAAAAAGTTGGCAGTAGCTTTGAGTAAATTAAATGTATAATGGGTTATAAACCGGGTTTATTGAATTAAACACATGCAATGTGCATTGTCCCTGAAGAACGAAATGGCTTGTAATTGCCTGAAATTTTCAAAATAAGCTGAGAAATGTTGCAAAATTGATCCAGTAAATCATTTTCCATATAATTATATCATTGTTTTTATAAACTACATGATTCTATTATGTACAGAAATGAGAATTAAGTTGAACGTTTCTGATATTTTCACACATTCTGTTTGCTGAAGCCCTTTACTAAGATGAACGAAAAATTTTGCAAACCAGACTTGAAAGTGTGCCGATGATATTTTGAATACTACTGAGCAGAGCAAAAATGCAGTTTCAAATTAAATTTTATACGACTTTTACTTAAATGACCTCTAGGAATACTGACAATTTTTGTTCTTT